GCATATTAATAGCACTGAATCCACGAATTATATTGTTATTGTTGTGAATAGTAGCCGTCTACTTTATCTAATATAATTATAAATATGTTACGTATTGGTATTAATAGTATTATACATTTTTCTCATATCCCTACGGCTTACTTCCATGCAAACGGCACTACTGCGTTAGCTGTTAGTGTTGATAGTTGTTTTTGCAGCGTTGTGTATTATTTTACTTTTCGCATTTATTATTTAACCACAAAGCGCAAACGATCAACATTTTTGTTTTGTCACACAAATCACCATTATTGATTATTAAACATGGACAATAATTACCCAAGTAGGTTATATTAATTACAGAAATATTATAATATTATTATCAATATAGTTATATAAAACAATACCTATTAAACAAATGAATTAATTAGGTTGGTATATTATAGTACACCTCTATGTACCTGTACAATATACATACGTATATTGTCCATACACCATATACGTTTTTAGAACCCAGCTATATGGTTTATATTCAAAAATGTATTCTGTAATACTTGAACTAAATAGTAGATATTCAGGATATTTTACTATTCCTTAATTTTAATACTTTTCTTGATAGTTTTATAGTCTACTTCATATTATGTTATTGTTATTACAATTTAAATTTTCAATTTATGTTCAAATACCTAAATTACTAAATTAGTAATTATTTTGTAGGTGCTATATTAAAGTATCCTAATCTTTTCTTGTACAATGATGATTAGAAAACAATATTTAATTAATACAAACTATTAAGTAATTGTGTAATAAACGAAGACTGCCCGATTCATTGTTAATATTAAGTATTAACATTTTTTATATAAAGAAATTTGTGATTTAAGTTTTTAGTACAAATCAAGAACACCGAGAAGAGAGCAGATCAAATGAACTCAAATGGCCACATATTTCTAATTATTTCGAACAACCAAAGTCAAGTGACTTAAATTTAAATTCGAACAATTTAATATTTAAATGCCTTATCTGTGACCCAAAAGAAAAACAAGTGTCTACTTCTAAATTATCTAATTCAAATCTTAGAACACATATAAAAGTAAGATACCTATACGGCTATACCTACCTTTAAATTATATGTAGGTATACATTGAAATTCAAGTTTAAAGTTGATTTCTTTTAAAAAAAAACTATAATTGTTTACATGGTTATATCAAAAAATAGATTGATATTAATAATTGTATTTATTAGTTCAATATGCAATACTTACAAAACCATTTATAACTTTAACTTTATTTTGATGTTTATATACATACCTATTTTTTTTTTATCTACATCATTTAAAAGAGTATTTGCCGTTTGAGCTAGAATATTTTACAAATTATTTTATTTGTTGTTTTTTCAGCTTAATCATCCAAGTGAGTTGATAGAATTTAACAATTGTGCCAAAAAAAAGACCATTAAATTCTTCTACGTTTATAGCTCATAAACAACTAAAATTGAGTGAGGTTGGTAAAGTACAACCAACCAAAAAGTTGAATCAAAATCAATTTGACAGGGAAAATATAAAACTAATAATTGAAACTGTATCACATTTTTCATTTATCGAACATCCTGCATTTATAAACTACTGTAGTGTGACATCTAATAAAGTTCCTGCATCATGTAGAAACTTCATGCGTGATGTAAAATTTTTATACGCCAAAATGATTAGTGAAATTGTCCGAAACTTGGAAAAAATTAAATATGTATGTATTACAGCAGATTGTTGGAGCATATTTCACAGGTAATAATATATAATATAATATAATATAATTATATTTCATGTAGATAAATTAAATTTTTATTTTGATTATTTTAGATCATACATAGGATTTACAATCCGCTGGATTAATCCTCTGACATTGGAAAGATGTTCTAAAGCACTAGCTTGCAGGCGAATGATAGGATGACACACATATGATAATATTGCAGAATCAATAGACAAAGTGCTCAATGAATTTAAAATTCAAAATAAAACAACTTTAATAGTCACAGACAATGCTGCAAATTTTGTAAAAAGTTTTAGGTAAGTAGGTATTTTTTTTTATACTTAATAATTTTCCATTGTTAAATTTGATTTATATTTTACAAGAACTTCTACTAATTACTAGAGGCCAGATTTCTATGTCCTCATAAAGATTAAAAAAAAATGTTTTATGCAGTTAAAATTAAGAAATAATTTCTCATATGTTACTTTGAGTTTTCCTTCAAAATAAGCTTTTACTAAAACAGAAAATGAATATTTTGGTTTTTAACTGTTTCAAAAATACAAACTATTAACTTTTTATGTTAATTACTTTCAATAAATTCAACCAACAACTTTAAAAAAATCTAGTTGATAGGTATTTCATTCATAATATTGTTAATAAATTCTAAATGCATATTGATATCAGTTAAATTTTTAAAATATTTAAATTAGATTTAATTATTAAAATAATTTAAGATGAAAAATAAATCAATGGGATATTACTGTTTGCTTTTTTGGTTAATAAATATTATATAATCAAAATATAATCTCAATTTCATTATTTTATAGAGTATACAGTAAAAATGATAATGATTTTGCTACAAATGATGATATTGATTTAACTGGGGTTATTGAAGTCTCTGTTGAAATCACTAATGCTCTTAGTTCAGAGCAGAACATTGATCAACTTCTGAATATATCATTGCTCCCACACCAACGTTGTTCGGCTCACACATTAAACTTAATAGCATCTGTTGGTATTCAAGAAGCTGAAAAAGATTTTGCATATAGGACCATAAGCCTAAAAGTGTTTAAAAAATGTCAAGCGATTTTCAACAAGCAAAATCAGTCTACATTAAGTGCAGATATAATTAAAAATCATCTTGGACGGTATCTCATCACACCGAATGCCACCAGGTNTACTAGTTTCAATAAACTATATATAATTCAAGAATAAATTATTATAATATTATTTTGTTTTATGCAAATGGAATTCTTATTATGACGCTATAAAATGCATTGTTGATAACAAGGAAAAGATGGACCAAGTATGTACTGATTTACAACTGCCTACCATTGCAAGTCCTCGTGTAGTCTCATTCCTACAAGAATATATCAATGCAACTTTTACATACATATTTAATATTTGTTACCTAATATATGAATATAAAACAATTATTTTAGATCATGAAACCTTTATCTAGAGCTTTAGATATATTACAGGGTGATAAAAATGTATCATTAGGATATTTGCTTCCCACGATTAATGCTCTTCAAAAATCTTTAAGTGAAATGAACAATATTATTTTTTGCAAACCACTTGTGAATGCTCTTCAACGAGGATTAAATAAAAGGTAATATTTCTGTTTAAAATAGTACTTAACTAAGTAACTAAATACATGAAATGCTTAAGAAAATGATAAAAATATAATTTTGTGTTAATTAAATTAGGTATTCGTATTACATAATAATTAATATACCAACACTAGAACCAGAATTTTAGTTTTATTTTTTAATAACTATATTTTAATAAATATAAATACCATGCATTTTGTTTTAAAACTTTTAATAATTTATGGTTCTTATTATCAATATTTTTGTCAAAATAGTGGAAAA